TGCTACGGCTCTGCGGGACCCGGTGCGCACTCGCAAGGCCCGACGAGTGTGGAAAGAAAGTGACGGTCTCCGATGCAAGGGCGGGATCTGGGGGGGGGGGGCAAACAGGCTAAAAGGTCTCACAGCGCAGAGGGAATGTCCTCGTCGCAACGTTAAACGTCGGGACCTTGACGGGACGCTCATATGAGCCGGCGGAGGCACTGCAGCGAAGACGAATCGTATTTTTGGGTGACAAGGGGGTCTAGTTGTAGATTGAGAGACATCGACTTTGAAGCTACCCTTCTCGGTGGGAGTAGGAACCACTGAGGCTATAATTGTAGCCGTGACCATATCTCGGCGTTTCCGTGACTCGATAGCTAACAACACTGGAACATTTTGGCGCCCATTCGATAAAGACTGTTTTGGTTATAGAGCGAAAAGTGTATCACTTCTTTTTGCATGTGCCCCACAAACAGGATGCACGGAACTATTGGAAGGTGAGTTTCGATCTCTGCTTGAGGAGAAGACAGCTGAGATACCATCAGAAGACGCTGTCATTTTCGCTAGCCACCTTAACGGGCACGTAGGGGCAGCGAAAGACGACTACAATTTTAATGATGGCTCCCGTTATGGTACACATAACGCCGATTGTGAGTGCATTCTAGAATATGCAGAAGCCCATAACTTAGCCATTATGAAAGAAAAACTTTCTGAGCGCGACTCACACCTACACCTTTTACAGCGGAAGTGCCAGACTCAAATAATCTTTGTCCTCGTCAGGCATCGCGATCGAAGGCTTAGACATATGTGAAGGTCGTATGACGTTCGCCACGCAACATCGCCCGCTAATTTATGCTGAAGATCCCACCTCATAGACCAAAACAGGTCGAGCGATGCAGTCCTCAGAGAACTAGATGGTGGTATCTGAAGAAGAAGGAAGACTTGTGATCTCTCGTACTCGTCAAGAAGAGACATCTTCTTTTGGACCAAAAAGTGCTTAGGCGGTGGCGCGATCATTTCTAGAAAATTTCTAAATAATATATACACCCCCGCCATACCCCGTGTCTCTCTAGAATATGGTCTAGTTTATAAGGCAACCATAAAAGAAACGGCTGACATAGAAGTCACAGTGTTGGTATTCTGCTGAATGGTCTTGAATGACTCTGCAATGACTTGGTTGAAGAACGTGGACGAAGTTCTTCAACCAAGTCATTGCAGCGAGAGCATAACATAGGGGTGGCGAGAGAGCACAACATTGTTCCCACACTTACCGCTCGCGTCTTGCTGTATAAACAACGCCAGAAGCAGAAGCATGTCCATCTAGCCCCAGCTGACTTGAAGAAGGCATTCAATCGTGTCCCACGTGAAGTTATAGGTGCGTCTCACGACAGCACGGCGTTACCGAAGAGCTAATTGAGTGGGTGCGCATCGACTCGATACAGTATCGAGCCCAACAAGCCGCGTGCGAACATGAGCGGGCACCTCGATGAAAGTCCCCATCACAGTGGAGGTGCACCGAAGCTCTGCGCTTTCCCGCTCCTTGTTGTCCTCCTGCAGCCATTTCACGAGACCTTCATAAGCCGACTTCCTCGACGCTTCTCTACGCTGACGGGGTTGATAAGGGCTAGCAATAAACGGTGCAGGCTTGGTCTGAGCGTTTGGCGATTTCGGACTAAGACTGAACGTCAAAGAAACCAAGCACTTTACACATGCGAACGCGGTTAGCCCGGAGTCGCCGACAATGAGCTAACGCGTACACACTTGTATATATCTTGGTTGAATAACTACGAAGGATCACAACCTCGACTCGGCAGTGAGCTCTATGGGACCGTCATTCGACTTGCCGCCATATATAGATGTTGCGCTGGATGGCTGGTGTCACGCGTATGGATCGTGTTCGAGATGACGACGTACGGAATCGGTGTAGCTCCCGTAGCTGATAAAATGGGCCACCGTTTCACGTACTGCGTGCAAATTCTGACATCGTCAGATTGTGAAACTGGTCTCGAGCTCGAAGGAACGGAAAGCCGCCTAAAGGACGTCTCAAGCAGCGCTGGCACGTTGCGTGCGGACTTGAAGATATTTGGCATCGACCAGGCATTCAATCGAGAGAAGTGCCGTTACAGAATAAGAAGATCAGACCTCGTCATGCGGTGGGATAAGCCCTTAAGAAGAAGAAGAAGAAGAAGAAGAAGAAGAAGAAGAAGAAGAAGAAGAAGAAGAAGAAGAAGAAGAAGAAGAAGAAGAAGAAGAAGAAGAAGAAGAAGAAGAAGAAGAAGAAGAAGAAGAAGAAGAAGAAGAAGAAGAAGAAGAAGAAGAAGAAGAAGAAGAAAGAAGAGAAGAAGAAAGAAAGAAGAAGAAGAAGAAGAAGAAGAAGAAGACAGAAGAAAAAGAAGAAGAAGAAGAAGAACAGAAGAAGAAAGAAGAAGAAGAATAAAGAAGAGAGAAGAAGAAGAAGAAGAAGAAGAAAGAAAGAAGAAGAAGAGAAGAGAAGAAGAGAAGAAGAAAGAAGAAAAAACAAAAAAAAGAGAATACGCGTGCTCATAGCGTACAGAAACATTCAACTATAAATATCTCAGATCAGCAACTGCGTCCGATGTCAGTCTCAGTTCAAAAGTGAGCACACGAGTGGGTGCGACATAATCTGAGTGGTGGTCCATCTGGGATCCCTCGCGACAAGAGAATGCTAGAGCCTTCACGTCAAGGGTCTGCAGAGGGGTCGCTCGCCCATTCATCTTACATGGTGCTGAGTGCTGGTCTGCGACCAAAGAAGTAGAAGCTTGCCCTGGTGTAACGGAGTTGAAAATATTGCGTTGGATAGCAGCTTCACGCAGTTGCAACGATGTCGCACGCAAAAAGTTGAGTGTAGCCCCTATAGAAGGCAAAATGTGTGAAACGCGCCTTCGATCGTACGGTCATGTGCTTCGCGCAACGGCTGATTTCCAAATTGGTCGAGGTACTCGGAAAGCGACGAAAAGGGCGCCCACGGTGGCTTGACACGCTGCATACATAGACTTGGAAATAGCAAGCATCCGCTCTAATCAGGCTTCAGTCGGGAAAAGTGGCGTCATCATATTATTAGTGTGTGATCAGCTACAAAGAGGACAAATGCTGAAGACGAAGAAGGAGGAAAATAGAAGTGGTTGCTCAATAATCGATTTAGGACGAAACCTATCGCGAAAGCAACTGTAACTTTTTAATTCTCAAGTTGTCGAGTTATATTGCGTTGTAGGTGTATTTTTTGTGTTATGTTCTGTACCAGTTTGGTTAACGCGCAGTACTGCGCGCAAGGTTGAACCTATCGTACTAACCAGAGGGTTTTTCTGCGGAGCACAACACTTTTCCTAATTCCCATTTTTCGAAATACGGCCAATTTCATCGTATTTTTTCCTTTTAATGAACATTTACCAATGACTGGCGCTTATCACGTTTTTGACAACACTCGCCATTCGTTGGAAATACGACAGCCTAGCGGTTGGAAGAGTCTCGAGAGTAGTAACATCGATATCAAGGTGAAATGTCCTCACATCCTAGTACATCATTTAAGCAGCTTTCGGGGCTTTTTTGTTGACACCACAGATTAGCGGTCGAATCGAATCCGACTATATCGCCAAGAGATACAAACATAGGAACATGTTGGCTCACTGAACCTTTGCCCACTGATTCGTTGGCCACGGTGATTTGAGAAAATACGACTCAAAGCCCTTGTCAGACACTATCAGAACTTATCTCCCACTACTAATTTTACCTAAGCACCTCTAAATTACTTGTAGTCCAGCAATCCACAACTATGCTGTGAGTTTTTGGGGCTATCTATCTCATCAGCCGCTATCTCGTCCTGCCACCCCCAATAATGTTCCCATCTTGCCCATTATTTTGCTTCATGGAACCAAAGTCCTAGCGTCGCTGTGAAACATGTTATCAGGTTGGTGATCCTTCCTATCTGAGGCACATTATATTATCTTATCAGCTGCTATCACTTCTTGCCAACCATGAATATTGTTCCCATCCTGCCCACTACCTTACTTCTTGAAACCAACGTGCCGTCGTCGCCGTCGCCGGCGCTATGACTTTGGTGACTCTTCCCTTGTAAGGCTCCTCATAGTATCTCATCAGCCGTGATCACTTCCTGCCATCCACCAATGATGTTCTCATCTTGCCCATAATCCTATTCCTTGGAACCAATATCCTAGCGTCGTTGTGACGCGCGTTATGGAGATGGTGATCCTTCCCTTCTATGGCTCCTCATGTCATCTTATCAGCTGTTATCACGTCCTGCCACCTACCAATAGTGTTTCTGCCCGACCTCCTACATCACCTATCAATTTGAGCGCTTCACTGTTGTTTTGAAGTAAGTTATGAATTTCCGGTCAAACACACACACAGACAGACATTCACACACACACACCAACAGACAAACTTAGCGGATCATGTATAGTATATATAGTAGGATATTCACCTAATGATATGAAGTTTAGTTCAGATTTTCAGTTAAGCCAGCTGACACAGTTTGATCGCGGCAGATCATTCAAAACGATCCACACCGTGATGTGGCGGGCACGGCCTATAAAAAGACAAGTGCACGCGGTTCTGCACGTTTGCTCCTCCGACTTTGCTTTCTTTGCTCGTCAGAGCACATCTCATCAATTATCTGGCATAAACGGTTCAAGTCTCGGTTCTTTTCTTGTACCAACTCAAGTCCACCGATCAATCGCTCAAGTTTGGTGTCAAGATTCAAGTTCAAGTCAACCGCTTGGCTGGATTTCAGTTATTCAAACGGCGAGCCCCCACGACATCCCATCTTACGCGATAAAAGCAATAAGTGGTAGGAAACGTCACGTGTGGGCACATTGCGATTCTCCAGCCGCTCCGACTGACTGTAACGGTATCAATTGTGGCGTACCGTTAGATCCGATATACTTCGTTTTTTCCAAACCGGCTTTCTCATTTGAGGATCGTCACTTTGTATTAATCCCAATATTTTCGCATAATTGTTATATGCTGGCTCACGAGTGGATTAGATGGATATTGTCAACGGTACCACACAGGAGCCTGTTTACCCACGTATTATCGAAGCTCTACTTTTGTTGTTGGTAGGTTCATAGTTGTGCTTATGTTTGCTCCTGAAAAGTCTTTTCTATTGAAAGTATTGTATTAGAGCAATTGTCAACCAATAAATGGCGGTGCGTCGCTGATATTGTTTGGTGTTTGGCACTTTGTTCAATCTTTTGCAGATTTAGTCTTACTTCCTGATTTCATTACACGCCGTCGCAGCATCTGCCTGTTCCACCAGACGTTGGGTCCTTCTCCTCCCTGAGAGACGACTTGCCGAGGCCACGACTTCAGTAAAGTTTTTCTGGATAACGGCCCTCCATCTTTGCTCTGAGGCTAAGGCCCTCGTGGGCGTTTGCACTGTAATTCGAACTCTAGTGCCTCTTTTACAGAGCTTTTTCAAAACGTGTCAAAAGCGTCGCAATCGCTGCTATCGTGCCTTCAGCTGGAATGACGTTTCTACCGGTGCTCAGTACTGCCTAGCCAACGTACGTGCACCCCCGTTCAGCGCCCTGAAGCTAGCTGTTGTAGTCTTGCATACTAGCCGGCCCTCTGGCCCTCGTGCATCGCAGCCCCAACAACTGCCCGGGCACGTAGTGCACTGAGGATCTCCTGCTAGGGGTCGTATTTGGTTGCTATAGGAGGTGGGCGCGTATTCGCTTTTGGTTTTTTTTTGTTGGAAAAACGGGAGAATTTCTCCGTGAATGCCTGCAATTATTGGAGATGGTGTCAGTTGGGGACAGTTGAATAAGGAGGCACGTTGGATGAGGAGGGAAAATAGGTGCTCCTGATACTCTTTGCCTTCGAGCATCCTGGAACATACCACGTCTCCTCATGTATAATAACTAGCATATATGCTTCAGTTATTCGATTTTCGATCGATCATTTTGCTTACTGAACGTACATTTTCAGGTTTGTTCTATAGGAATAGCATGCCATCTAGCCGCATTTTTCATAATGATTCGTCATCGTGCGTTTCGGAACTCATTTGGCCGTCTCGCTGCTTGCTACGCTTTTTCAAGCGCTTCCCTTCTAATCGTGTTTCTTCTGTGGTCGGTCCCGTGGACTATTTGGTAAGGCATCAGATAGCTCAAACTTGCTCTATCGTGGAAAGTGAATCTAGAAAATTATATCGTAACACTTTTTTCATTACCTGTTAACATAGCGGATTATTTTCTAGGTCCCTGCAAATTATTGTGGAATTTTAATTATGATGCTATGTTATGCTTTTCGTTTGTGCGCCATTTCTTCTGGCTATTTTTTTAACGTTATGCACCATGCAGCGCTAGAAGAGACGAAAAAACTATTACGAGTCTAGGAGCATAGGACTTCTCGCATAGGTTGTCATGCCCGAATGCGGAACAGGGGAGGCGGAGAAATCGAGTGCTTATCATTTTCAGTTCAATATATGCGCGAGAACATGTGATACTTAATTCAACTAAATCAGTAGAACACAATCAGTTCATTCTGAACAAGGAAATATGACTGCTCCATCCCGTTCTAAACGTTGAGGCCAATATTGAGCTCCTGGTTTGGGAACGGGTTGTACCACTTGACCATGTACAGGGCGCGATTATGTACCTTGAGGAAATAGACAGCTCTCACCACGACTGCTTAATCTGCATTCAGATACCCATTGCATGTTCGTGCATTGGTCAAGGAAATACCCTGTAACGCAATTATTGGGCTGCTATCCACCAGCTGGTCTAGATCATTCTGTTAATGTATAGATGCACGCCCCAAGTTCTCTTCTCACAAGAAAATTCTAAGGACATTTCTTGTACTAGACAATGTCGTGAGTTCTCTGAAATATTATAAATAACATTCAGGGATGTACCAGACCAACTGCACTATTTGAATCTGAGGATGGGCCAATGGACGATGGGTTTTTACGCGGCAACGATCCATTCCAATTTATTCATCTCCATAAACAGGTGAACTTCGTTGAAATTCTGAAATGAGCCTGTTGTCTAAGTCCTGTGGGAACTCTTTTGAGTTATTATCAGTCGAAAGTCAGTCTTCATTTCAGCTGTGTGGTTTGTTAAGTGCACCATTTAGCTTCACAATAATCTCTCTTGCTGTTTTTTGAACTCTCCGTTTTTCCCTCTCTCTTCCATCGTTGAACCCCTCTACGTTCACTTTGACTAGGTAACCAAGTATTACTATTGAGTGCCCTTGATGCTGCTTACTCCATACCACAATCAATACAATAATTGAGCCTTTTGCAGATTCGTGGCAATCTGGTTCCCGATACGATATCGCACAGTTTTCACACTTGCCAGGACATACGCTTTCATGGCCGTAGTCGCTATTATATTTGCAGCTTACTGGAGCGTAGCTCTAATAAGTAACGGTTTTATTTGAAGTTTCCCGATCCCTCCTCGAATGAACTTTCAGACGGATGCGACTTTTTCTACAGTCATGCTCCGACGTATTGGGTATTCGGTAATGAGCCGTGCGCTCAGTTCCTGTCATATTATATCGACCTTCAGTATGACACCTATGTAGTTGTAGCGGTTGCAGCGATTGACATCATTATTATCGTACGGCTAAGATCGATAAACCAGGTGGTGTCTCTCATGTTCCCACATAACACTTAATGAAATATTTCTGTACAGAAAAGTGTGTTCCGCATGAATGGAGGGCAAAGGGAAGCTGCTACACGGAACATGAGAGAGTTCAGGTTTTTCATGCAAGTGAGTTAACCACAGATCTCTACAATACACGAAGATTTCTCTTCAAAAATTCAGAATTCGTTTTCCAAGCCTGTTTACCATGATAACTGTTGTCCGAAAAGTGGTTCATCTAAGGTGCAAGAAGTTGTTTCATTACCTGTGCAATTCGTTCTTCGGAAATTGCCGCAATAATGCTGATTTTTGGGCAAAAGTCATGATCAGTATTAACTTGAACGCTACAAAGGCTAAGTCTCGTCCCTTGAGATCAAGTCTCTCGCCACATTTCAGAATTCTTGCGTTGCCATTTAGAATGTAGAAGAAGTACACCTATCATTGTGGTATTTGGATTGTCAGATATGGATATCTCAGGGGAAAGTTGTAAGGTGTGGTTGTGATTATTCCGATTAGTAATGGAATCTCCTAATTTCTCCACAAAATTCTTACCATTTCGGTCGAATTTTTGATACTCAGGTAGGTGATACACAACGATCCTCCAGCATAATTTTGAGTTACGAATTTCGAGCGATTGCTCCGATCTCCCACAATATCTGCGGTGGAGTAAGAGGAGAAGTTTTTGAACTTCTGTCTAGTACTGTCTTTCTGAATAGGTTTAAATCGCGCTCATCTAACGTAAGAACTCCTCGTGCAATCTGAAACTTGCTCACTTTGTTCACGGGAAGGATCAACTACTCGTTGATTGCGGGAAACGTATTCCATTCAAGGCTGCGATACTAAGGAGTACCAGCTCTCTGTTGTATCGGGGTGGCCCATAAGTAATGGCGTTTTTCTCACAAATTTTCATATAACAATTGAGAATTTTTTCTATGCTGAGATTTCTATGCTATTTAATAGAAATTTGTCCACTCTAAAGGACTTTATAATTGCTTTCTGACCGCTTTTTGTTTCTGCTGATTTTTTCATTCATTAGAGTGGAGTGTTGCCTCGACACAAAAGCGATCGACAACAACTTTTTGCACTGTATTCAGCACTGAAATTACAGAAGCTCAAAACTTGCGTTTATGTATGGCCAAAGAAAGAGGCTTCTCATGACGGCTCGGAATTGGTTAAAGCGATCAAGGTGTGAGGTTTTGACCTTGTAACTGTGCATTGCATGGAGGCACTATTGAGGAACGATTGCATGCAGAACCTACCCCCTAACTTTTGAATGTCTAACATCAACCAGGAGTGATGCTTGATAAAGATGAGAAGGCATTCCATGCCCTCAGTCTAGTCCTCAATCTCTGGCATGAACCTTCGTGGATAAGGTGGTTCAGTCGGCTCTCAGTTGCACCCAATAGGGCATAAGGTTCGATGCTTGTCTGTGAGGTCGGAATGGAAATCTTCGAATAATTCAAACCGTTGTAGGCATTCTTAAGGGGCACAGCCGTTTGCCCATGCGCTTAGCAACTGGGCGTGGCGTTTTAGCTTTCTAATTACACGTAAAAAAGCGAGGCTGTCGAAAATGCCCAGTTTCATCGACCTAGCACTTTGGTTTGAACACTTGAATATTTGTGATAAGAAGAACTTCGAAAAACACAAAAGGACTATCGTATAGGGCAAAGATATCTCTGCGGGCAGCTTAAAATTCAATAGCAAAACTTTTCATCCAGCACAATATTTCGAGTGAGAAAAAAAACACCATTGCTTATGAGCCGACAAAATACATAAATCGAAAACGGTTACCCGAACCAAAGTAGTGATAATGGCAAATAGGTAAAAGCGATTATATGTAGAAGAGGTTATGCATCTCCGTTATTTTCAGTCTATTGCCTGCTCAGGCTCTAACTTAGTGCTGATCATCATCTACTTCACGTTACCGCCTATCACTACTACCAATTTCCAATTGTTCTTATGCACCACATTAGCCTGGGTCTCCTCTCACGCGGTTTCGGGGTAAGTGATTTTTACGATTCCTGGCTGACCCCTTTGGGTTTAGAGACCATGCATTCAAACGAAAATCCTGCGATCAGAAGCTATGACTACTGAGCCCTGCCTCGGTAGATCAAGTCGCCAAGGACCTTAGTAGTGAAGGAAAAGGCAAAAACTGCTGGAAATGCGTTACACAAGATCCTCTTCAAGCACAGATTACAACGGTGTTGTGATTGATGTGGTCACTACAACGGACTTTAACTGATCTCTTGTGGCCGAAAATGTCCCTGTCTTCGTTCTTTAACTCAGCTGCTTTTCTCCCACCATTACTGGATTAGCGCAGCTGAATGGTTCAACCTTTGTCAAGAGACTAGACCAGATAGCGGTGTTGTAATCGATATAGTCGCTACATCTGACTTCGACTGATGTCTTGTAGCTGACGATATCACAACATGCGTTCTTTAATTTAACTGCTTTTGTTTCAGTCATTACTGGGTCAGCGCCGCTGAAATGGTGCTACCTCTGTTAGGAGACTAGACTACTTGCTCGCCGAGGAAAGGGACTCCCAAACTAAAAGCTGAGTCGGAGATGCTGAATTGCTCTCCATTCTGTAGCTGACTTCTCTTTCCATGCCGGCAGTCGTCAGCAGCATGATAACCAGAATGTACAATAGTGTGAAGATGTGGATCCTTTCATGTCGCAGCAGCCTGAAGAAGTGAAGAAGGAGGAGCATCGTTATATGAAAAACGCAGAATTGAGCTGCTGCTCAACGTGATAAGGTCAATACAGGTCTTATGAACCGAATGTCTCGGCGGAAGCAACCTAAGACTCATATCTCATCCAGACTGAAGATGAGAGTTTCTCCATTTCATTGGTCAGCAGTCGCTGCTGGCACATGCACATATCACAACGAGATTACTGCTAACAATTCAGAATGTCGGTCATTGTCTGACTCAGGTGGCTAACAAGCATTTCTGGCCCGCGATTCCTAGCTTCATGTAGCGCTTGTGCCTTCATCAACAGCTCCCATAAAGGGAATCGCTTGTGACACAACGTTCCTCACCCATCTAATTACAAGAGTGAAAAGAGAAACTGGCCACGTAATTTTTGGAATCAATTTAAATACTACGATAACGATGTTAACATCCTTACCAAAGCGTCGGTAGGCTCTGAGGACTATTTTTGTGATCTCCAAAGAGTGGTTGCTATGGAAGACTTACTGTACCGAATGGTTTTTTTTGCATTTCAGAGTGGTTCTGGTCACGTTCAATTCTGAAATTCGACGACATTTTCTGTTCAAACGAAAGCCTTCCCCGAGGGTTACAGTGAAGATAACCAGTGTTCGAGAAGTCCCTCCTCAGGCTGCGGTGGGATCGAGAGCTGTTCTTAGCTCCACATCTCCATGAAGATCATGAAGTGTAAGCAACTTTCTCAAGTCTTTACAAAGAGCGTGTATCAGATGAAAGCGCAATTTCAAAATATTTTTTCGCTGAAGTGTGGAACTAAAGATAGCGTCTAATTCCGTTGAGCCGTTCTGGCACTGCGGAGGCCTAAAAGGCAAAATGTTGACGGTTAGATATTACTCGATGGCAGGAATTTTGCAATTGCAACTCTTGTGTGCGAGTATATGAACCTCTTGGCTAAACAAAAAGCTGTCAGAAAGGTATGAGGGAGTCTGATTGACTCTACCTTCATCAGCGATGAATAATCGTTATGTTAACAAATGTATCGTGACCTTTTCAATACAGTCGTTTTCGCTGCAGACGCTGGAGCGTGTAAGGGCATGAGGGGCAGCATTCAGGTTAATTGCAGTATGTCCGTGACGGACACTTTTGTGCAACGAATAACGAACAAATACGAACCCATGCAAATGTACGCGGTGCCATTAGTGGAATGAACTCTCATCGCCTATGTCTTTTCCCCTCTGTAAAGCCCTTTCTGCCCCAAAAAATGAAGCAACCTAATTTCATGCTTTTCTTCCCTTAAGTGCAGTTTCCTCAGATACTGAAGCTTGGTTTGACACAAAGAAAGGTGAGCCCAACTTAATGGCTTTTGTTTTCTATTTTGTTGTTGATTTAGGATAGAAATGAGCAGGAAGCGTGAGAGCTTAACTCAGTGTAAGTTTTGTTGTTTCTTTTTTTTCATTCGTCGAGCTTATACATGAGGTTCTAAAGTTTTCGCCTGTTGATGCTGCGTATAATGATTAGTGTTTTGGTTCCTAGGGGAGTTCCTTTCTGTTTTTTTTCTTCGTTGTTTGAGCTCGATTAGTAAACTAAAAATGTTTTGAATGTAGGAAAAGTCCAGACGATAGGAATTTTTGAAGAGCTCGCATAAATTGAAACAATAAAAACAAAAGAAACAAAACGAAGCTCTCCCAGGAAATGGAGTAGGCTTCATCACCACCTAAAAAAGTGAAACTTTCTAACTTCATATTCCAGATCGGCTAATGTAGAAAGTCGTAAGTATGTAGAAAGTCGTAAGTTATCAGTTAGTAGCCATTATTGAGAGAAAAGAAGGTCTCACTAGTTGGATTTCCTTATTTATCAAGCCAGCAGTCCATAATAGCGTTGGGGCGCGCTCTGCCACGTACCGACGATCGCGGCGATCGCCGGGGTCGCCGCGATCGCCGCTGCTGTCGCGAAGTATGAACGCTGCCTTGAAGGGTCAATCCAAATGGTGATATCTGCACCTGTATCAAACCCACCCCTTAGCCTGAAACATATCATCAATTTTTCAGCATTCCTGGAGCAGGTAAGCCAAAATCGAACTCGTTTTCGGTTTCATGGATGAATCTCCGTCTCGTTCAAGCCGCGGCGGTTTTATCACATACTAATCGCGAAAGTGAGACATGCTTCGCGAAAGGCACTGTCTGCACACTGAGCTTTCTCGGTCACTGTCTTTGAACCAACAAAAAAGCAATCCCCATTCATATAATGTAATGGCTTGATAATATGTGCAACAAAGTAGTAGGGCAGAGTCAGAGTAGTGGCAAGTAGTGTCGCACCCTCGCGATCTCACGGTCGAATCTCGAATCGGCCTCTGCACGAGCCAACCGTCCTCCCCATCTCTCTAAATTGATTGTTTGTGTCAGACTCGTCTGAAAGGATGAAACACTGGCGAATACATCGGCCGCTCCACGTCTTTGTACATATAGACAATAT